ACTGTGGTGTTTGTGGGGATTAAGCAGAGTATCCCAAGTGGAGACAGGAAAGGATGGGGAAAGGCAAGACAGCCTGCCCATTCCATTCCTTCATATTCGCAATGCTCTCCTTTTATTCCCTTCCTTTCTTTTATTCACGCTTTCCTTCCCTTTGCGTCCTCCTGCTCCCTTTTACTCTTCCTTCCTTCAGCTGCCACAATCACTAGCCCTGCCCCATGTCTCCTTTTGCCATTTGCTCCATCCTACCAAACTCAACAGCAGCGTGAATAGGAGCACAGACACCTGTCCCCGGCTGCACCAGGAGCCCTCCCGGACAGCGGCAGTGAAGGCTGAGCTGCCTCTGGCCCCAGCACGTGTAGCAGCACCCCAAAACCAGCTCCACGGCATGTGCTTTCAGGCTGGCTAGAGCCGCCGCGTGCGGCCGGGCTTCGCAGAGGGCAGACTGACATCAGTATTTCAGGACAGAGCTGCAAGTAGTCCCCTCGGTACAAAAGCACTCATCCAGCGTACTATTAATTATGCCTGCTCAGCTGGCCAGGACAAAACATTATTTTCTGTTAAGCCAATAGGGACAGGCTGTGAACACAAGGGACCCTCCTGATTTTCAGGAACTCTTGATTACTCTGCGTAAATACGTGGCCTCGGCCACTCAGAGAGGGGTGAGGCCAGGGAGGGCAAAAGGCAGGAGCACGGAACGGGAAAAGCATTTGAAGAGAGCAGTTAACATCTATTTTTTTCCTTCTTGGGTTGGATGGCAGGAATTTGTCACCAGAGAAATTATTTCTCAAGCCTCCAGATGCATTCAAAATAAAGAACAATGGACCACATGATAAGCCTTCTGCAGCTTTCCCCACAAAAGAGATGCCGGATGTTTTTTTCAGCACTGACAATAGCTTTCATGCACTTTTGTGTTATGTAAAATTAGGATTTTTACTGCCAGAACAGAGGCATTTCCTGCTGGATTATACTGAAGTGAGCCTATGAGACCAAGGGGTCCCCAGTTGTTGGTCTCATTTAAAATTTCAGTGAAACAGTATGGTCCCTGAAAAGCTGCAGAGACACGTAACAATTACAGCCGAAGCACTTTGTCTACGCCTAGGAAAACAAGTGAACAGCTAGCCTTTTCCCCTTTGGTCCTAAAAGAAAAAAGACTTTTTTTTTTTTTTTTTGCTTTTTGAATAAGAAGAAATTAAATTCAGAGACATAAAAAGACAGCTCAAGGGCTTGTCACCGGTGGCAGCTATTATTCCTGTTACATGGATGGACTTCAGCAAAAAGGCCACGCAAAAATGATTTAAGAGCATCTGTCTCTGCCTTCTGCAAACGCCGCCCCAGCAAGAGAACAGTGGGCAAGGGAAATGCTTGAAGATGGTCAGTAAATATAAATACACAGCAGGCTTAGCACCCTAGGAGAGAAATTACTGTCCTGGGTACATTTCTCCCCTTGCAGCCATACAACTGCTAACAGAACAACGAGACTGCTGATGCTGCAGGAGGAATAGCATGAGCCTTGGGAGGAGACATCCTCATTTGGTAGAAAAAGAAATAGTCAGTCCAGTGGCCAATAATTTTAAAAAAAGGTTCCCTAATTCAAGCCTCCTGAATTCCTGCCTGGATTTTTTCCAACAGCATCAAGGTAGAAGTCAGAGGGAGCTGCTAAGCTCACAGTACTTCGAAAAACAAGCTTGTTAGGAAAGCATCCCCAAAAGGACAGCCAATAAGTTTAAGTATACCTTTAAAAAGTGTTTCCCCCTGTCATCCCCGACATGATTTCTTGTAATCAAGGAACTATCTGAAAAGAGATGGGCTTCAGGGATTACATCACATGAGCAAATCCTCTTCTTTATATTCTTTCTCTGTATCCTTTCTCAGAAAGGGGAGCCAGACACAGAAAACACTTCGAAAGAGATGAAACTCTGGTGAAAGACCTATAGAGGCTAATGCTGAGAGTCACTTTGAGTGACTCTCAAGTGATCCAATTACAAAAATATCCCTAAAATGAAGAAAACTGAGGTATTTAAAGCCCTTCGTTAAAACACAATTTTCACTCCGTAGATTCCATAGGCTTTGTGGGGTGCTTTTAAGGATCCGCAAAGGTAAGTATACTGACAAACAACAGGTTTGTTTTTCTTCAACTTGCATGCAGGCATCCAAGACTCAACTGGAAAAAGCCTATAAATTAACACAGCTTGCAAACCTTTGCCATAAAATATACACCACGGGTGAAGGCATTATTGCACACTGGGAATACCAGCAGTTGGGTTGCCCCACACAGACCTACTATACTCTTGGATCGCTAGCCAAAGCCTGTACTACCCCTCCTTTACCAGACAGACTGAAGCTAGAGCAAGTACACAGCCCCAGGCTGCAGTCAAACCTCCTTGCTCTGGTTTTGATGCACCCTGGATTGTCCCAGACCCAAGGTTAGATCCAGGTTGAGAGCTCACATTGTCTTCAATGAAGATACCCTCTAATGGCGAAGAGAAGCCCAGAAATGGGAGTATTTAGCAGGTTTTTTTTCTTTTTTTTTTTTTTTTTCCCCCCAGATTTCACTTACAGGAAAATGCCAGGGCACACCAGCTCTTTGTTGCAGAGGCAGAGGCGTTGTGTTGGCAGCAGCTGATGCGCAGGCAGGGCGCAGGGCCGGAGCTTTGCCTCCTTGTGGTTGCAAGTGCGCTGCGATGGGTTTGCACTTGGGAAAACAAGCGCGCAAAGCCCTTCTGAGCTGTTGCATGCAGACCCCGAGACCAGAGCTGGCTGGGCCCTCGGTCATTTATGCGGCACCCCGTGCAAGAGGCACAGAAAGCGCCTTAGCTTATGTTCTCACTCTCCCAACCTAAAAATCAGCTGCTGGCAGGTTGTAGGAATAGATAGAAAAAAGTCAAATCAATTTTAGTGGGTTGTTTTGTTTTTTTTTTTAACCCTGCCTCCTGACTGCAAGGGAAGTCCAAACAAGAATACTCTCTGAAAGACGTGAAATCCATGTCTACTCTTCCTCAGGCTCACAGTCTGACTGAATTCAGTAGCAGCTTTCCTTTCCTAAGTACAAAGCTGAAATTTCCCCCTATCATTTAACCTTTGCCCAAGCTTTTCACCTGAGGTTCAACTCCTTATTAGCAGGTCTTTAAACAGACTTTCTGCCCTAGGGTGAACTCACCCCAACAGAATCTGTTCTACAAACAGCAAAGGAAACAGATTGTGAATTATTTTGCTTTTATCATAAATAGCCTCTCCTCCTTGTAAATGGATCTCCAGTCCCCGTTAACTCCAGGCCTACTGCACATAGGAGCTCAACCACAGCCTGCAGAAATCAATACCATTGACTCTAATGAGTTCTGAATCATGCTTAGCACTCTTGGAGATACAGCCCACTCTTCCAGCAAAGAAAAATATGTATGTCAGTAGAGGCATTGACAGTAATATATGCTAACGAAGGTAATGTAACCTAACAACATGTGAATTATTGATGTAGGCATGTTTAAACAGAAAAATCAGCAAGGAATCACACCAGACCGATAGACTCCAGTGTTTGTTCACCAACAGGCAATTGGAACATGGTGATCGTGAGAACACTCATTACCACTTTATTAACTTGAAGGATTTTTGTTAGGTTGTCCGTGTCTCACCTGATACATGAGTCATTTAAAAATTTCATGTCATGTGACACTGCGTGATCTCAACAAGCCACTTGTACTAGCATTAAATGAGCTACTTTCCCACATCCAGAGTTTCCTCTGAACTTTTCAGATGGTTATGATAAATCGTGCTGCTTTGCCTGAATTATTTTTCCTTAATCTTATTTATCAGAGTCATAGATAAGGGCCAGTTTAGCCTCCCATTCACAACAAGTCATGGAAGTGCAACTCTCCTGAATGCAGTGAAGTTGCTCGTGATTGCCGTGAGGCACATGGAGAATGAAACCAGCTCCGTTGCCTGGCACGGCTCTGGATCCCAGGATGTCAAGGCAGTTGACTCAGCTCTATCATAAAATAAACATAGTTTGTCTATCTAGACAGTTTTATCACATCCATCGTCATGTTCTCCTAATGTATTCAGAGAAAATTAATTTTGTACTACAGTAAAAACAGGATATATGTTCAATAATCATCAGTGTTAATATTACTATTATTCCATTATCCTGTGAGATCTAATCATTCTGTCTGTACTTTCGGGTGAGTTGGCTCCATCTCTGTGGTATCTGGGAACTACATTGCAGACAGGCTTTGTTTTTGTAAGGGCTGTTGGGGCATACGGATTTTTACGGTCTCATCATGTCCTCACCAGGTTATATTCATATGCGTCGTCACTGCATTGATATAGACAAAAGGTTTCCTAGTACATGCTGCGTCTAAAATAACCCAACCACCAAACCACAGCCAATCGCCAATGCACATTTCTGGACATTTTAGTGCTGCATTCAGTTCCGAGAGTGTTGAGTGGGCAGGGGAGAAAGCTGTCCCCTGGCTGGAGCCAATCGGGGAAACGAATCCCTGGATTGCTCCATCACCACCCCACACATGGGGGAACTCAGCCGCTCTCTCCAGAGAAACCAGCATCCTCAATGCCCAAATAAGCTTTGCAAAGCCATGGAGAAGAAAACCAACCTTAACCGAGATAATTAAAATAGCTGCTTATTTTGGAAGAGTTATCACATTACTCTCAATGCAGGCAATTAATCTCACTGATAACAATGCACTGTAAACGGCTCCTCAATTCCTCCAGCACTCGCAAGAGAAACACACTAAGCCTTTTCCAGCTGTATTAACGAAGGAATATTTGGGGCTTTTTCGAGGAGGGAAGGAGTTGGAGGACAGTTCCCTGCTTATCTGCCATGTTAAAACACATAAACACACTACAAAAGATAACCCCTTTTTATTTATTGAATAAACGCTATGCCACATTTCATATCATCAGAGACCAGTAAGTCACCAAGGCAGCGAAAACCGAGGGGCACGTACGCGTGGGCAATCATGCAGGAGCACCGTTTGCTTTTGATTTACCTTTTCCGGAGCCGGGAACTGCAGGTGATTTACTTCCAAGGGTGTGATCAAAGGAACTGTTTGAAAACCATCTTCGTTGGATGGTTGTTTGTTGTTCTTGTCGTTCAAATTACTCCCCAGCTTCACCATTCTTGGACCTTGCTTTCCAGACCTAAAACCAGCAAGATGAGCAATGTCACAAGGGCAGCGGGAAGGGGAGGGTTTCTGCCTTACCCCGTTGGCTTTGACTTAGCGCATCGGTGACCTGGGCTTTTACGCCCGGGCCGCTCGACACACGGCGTACCGCACCGCAGCGCGACTTCACGCATGCATTTTGCCGTGCCTTAACGCAGACACCCCGTAAAATACCCCTTAA